CTTCCCTCTCATTAGCTGATTGGTTTAGCTCTAGTAAACTAAGAGTCTAAGATAGTTGACACACTTCTTGTCAGCTGAGTGAGCTCTTTGAGAAATGGCCTAAGATGGAGACTGTAATATGTTCAAGGTTCCACATACACAAATGACACTGATATGAAGTTAGCTACGTTAAAACATAAGTGAGCATAAATCACTTTTAAAAGACCACATGCAAAAGGCTAGAAAGTCCCACCACCGCAGTTTTACCACAGAACTGAAGTTTTTACATTGATATTATCTGGGACACTTTGTTTTTGTCTCCCTCATCCTTACTATAACATAAAGAATGAATCCACTCTGGCCTTTCAGCTCTCAGGAACGTGGGCTCTGCAGGGAGACACAGCTGGAGGATGCAGCCTTATATTGGAGGCCTAGAGGGTTTGACATTCTACTAACCTTCCAGGTAAACTCTCAGCCAGCTGCCCCCAGCCCTTCACAAACAAGATCCTGAAGATGGAGCCACTTGCTTAATTCAGAATAAAGTCACTTGGTGGTGGTGATGGGGTGCACTCATGACATTTTTAAGTTGAAGAGAACATTTGTGCTACAATTTGGCTTATGTGTGTGGAGCTACTTGCAAACATTTTTTTTTGTAAGCTTAGATTTTTTTTATTTCTTTCAATTTTAGCAAAAAGGAAAATAAACAGAAGACAACAACCAGATTCCAAGTAACTATAGATCAGCAATTAGAGATCACACTACATCTTAGACCCTGAATATGTATTTGGAGTAAGGCTTGGAGGAGGAATAATCTGACTGGGTTACAGGAACTTTTCCCAGAACCATCAGGAACTGGTGTTCTCATCCAGGGAGCCTGAGAAAATAGCCCTTCAATTAAGATTAATATCAGAGCACACAGAGAATAATGGCTTCATTGAAAATTCAATTATAAGCCAAACTCTTTCTCTCTGGTTGGAAATGCCTTCTCAGTCTCATGAAGCTTTTGACGTCAGTGAGTAAAGGACAAGAAAAAGTGCAGATGAGACATGCCTCTGTACTTAAGAGCAGATCATACAGGACCTCTGTCACCTTTTCAAGATTGGAGAGAAAAATCCAAGGCGAATAGCTAGAAGTTGGATTTTAAAGCTCTCTGTGTGTCTCTATGTCAAAGCAGGTCATAGATGTGAAGCTGTCTGTTTGGAGAGAATGTAGTTTAAACCCTTGATTTTAGAGTCATCTTGGGATTTTTATATTGTCTAGTTCTCTATGTCAAGGCATCCCCATTTCAAGTTTGGGCAAATGGTACACGATTTAAGATGAAGCTCACGCACACGCGCGCGCGCGCACACACACACACACACACACACACACACACACTACTAACAGAAGTGATCACTTACTAAAGTAAGCATTGACAGAGCAGCCCTTTCCCATAACTTTCTCAGGACAGACCAATTTAGACACAATTGCCTGGCACGTACTATAGATTATATCTGGGAAAGCATGAAAGCAAGTCAGAAGGCCATGTCCAGATGCAGGCACACTGAGGACAGCACTCAGCATAGCCTTTGCCAGATTGGGTTCTATACCGTGCTCTGACATCCAACAAGAATAAACATGTCTTATAGTTGAATGTAAATGTTTGCCACAGGAGGCATGACTTCACATCCAAGAACAATCCAAGGAACAAAATGCACTTTAGATTTCTCCCAATTAACCTGCAAATGTGCCACCTAGGTTTCTAAAGCAATCTCAAACCAGTGACTATTATTCTTAAAGGATCCAAAGTCCTCTTGGCTTGCTGTTGCAAAGTACCATGGTGTTGTGGAATAATATTCTAACTAGGCAAAGATGTGTTACATTTGTTTATGCTGCAGAATATTACTTTAACTATGTGAAGGTGTGTTGCATTTGTTTCTGCTGCCTTTGTTAATGATGTAATGATGTGTTACATTTATTTATGCTGTATCTATTTAATTATGAAAAGATACATTGCTGGTTCACTGTGCCTGCCTAAGGCACCTGATTGGTCTAATCAAAAGCTGAACTGCCAATAGCTAGGTAGGAAAGAGATAGGCAGGGCTGGTGGGGAAAGAGAATAAGTAGGAGGAGAACTCTAGGCTTGAGAAGAATGAGGAGAGAAAGGCAGGGGCATGCCCAGAACCAGAAGCCAGCCAGCTGCCAGGTAGGCAGACACAAGAAGGAGTGAAAATAAGATATACAGAAGGAAGGAAAGATTTAAAAAAAAGCCCCAAGGCAAAACATAGATGAAGAGAAACAGGTTAAGTTATAAGAGCTAGTGGGACAAGCATAAGACTGAACATTCAAAACTAACAAGCCTCTGTGTCTTGATTTGGCAACTGGCTGGTGGCCCCAAAGAAAAAGCCTACTACTCCACAGGCCTAGTAGCTTACAACCAGAAGACAGTGATTTCTAGGGTCTTGGTAATCCAAACCTAGGAGCCAGCAAGTTCAGAATCTGCGGAGAACTCTGGGAGTCAGGTGGGAAGGGGCAGGATGGAAACAAGTGTAGAGGGCCACACACTCACAGGTAAGCACTGGAGAAACCAAGACATTAGAGAAGCCAGGAATGTTAAGCACACAGGTTTTCCTTTTCAGTACAAGGGTTGTGCATACCTGTTTTCCACCAAGAAGGCTGGGAATGGATGTTCTAGTAACCTGGTAATCTTTGCTCTTCGTAGAGCCAGGCCTCACCTGAATCTCCCATATCCTGAGCATTGTTTGTCAGTCAATGTTACCCACCCTTATGAAAGAGGTCCTGCTGACTTTTTTCAGACCTATGCAGACCTGTCAGCAAGATCTGAGATTTGAGGACCTGAAACAATGGGGCAAGTCTCATGCTTTAGACAACCTTACTTCAGTTTCAGTGTGTTTTTATGCACGAATGTTACAGAGAAAGCAATGATCCAAGGAAGGTTGTTTGAGTTCAGAAAAATACGATCAGAAGAACATCTAGTAAGCATATACTAAATATTGACAGAGCAGCCCATACCAGAACTTTCTCAGGACAGACAACTGCTGGGATGAAACTCCATGACTAAGAGCAACATGGGGTGGTAAGGGTTTATTTTACTGACCCTTCCGTGTAACAGTTCATCATCAAGAGCAGTGAGGACAGGAACTCAAGCAAGGCAGGCACCTGGAGGCAGGAGCTGATGCAGAGGCTATGGAGGAGCCCTGCTTACTGACTTGCTTCCTTCCCATGGCTTGCTTTCTTATAGAACTCAGTACTACCAGCCCAAGTATGGTATCACCTCCCACATCAATTACTAATTAAGAAAATGTCCTCCAGGCGTTCCTACAGGCAATCTTGTGGGGAATTTTTTCACTCATGGCTCATGTCTTGCTGATGACTCTAGCTTGTGTCAAGCTGACATTAAACTAGCTAGCACAGAGCCCCAAATGCTGAAGCTTCAGTATAGAACGTCTCAGGCCTGGGTTTTGTCCTGAAAGGAACAAGGATCCCCATAAATAGACTTGTCCTAATGAGGTGTGGGCAGGGAATCCTCAGAAGACCCTCATAGCTATGTGCCTGCTGAATCTCGCTGGGTACCTCTCCCCTTGATATCTAGATAGTTCCTTCACCTGATCCAGTTCTTTCTTATAATTCTAACTTGTCAGTGAACACTTCTTCTCAGCACCCCCACCAGCTACCTAACTTGGCTATATCACATAACAGCATCTGATATTTGTATATCCAATTGCTTGTCTGCTTACCAGCTATGATTTTGGCAGAATTTGGTCTATTTTCTTCAATCCTAAATTCTAATGTCTAGAATACTGGCTAGCCCAATAGTGTTGTTCAATAAGTGTTTTTTGAGTTATTGACTCAATGAATGAGTAAAGAATAATTTTAATTTTTAGAAAACAGAGAAAGAATGGTCCAGGAATGGCATCTAATTGATCTTGCTATTTGAAGGCCGCTGAAGTGCACAGTGCTTTCATTTCGTCTGGCCACAAGAGGGTGCTTCGGATCAGGTTTTTTTGTTGGTTTTGGTTTGGTTTTTGTACATGCCATAGTCAAATATTCAGAGACTATTCGTACTTTGCACTTTCTTCGGCCCCAGAAAGGAAACCTGAGGTAGGATCATGTCTGCAGCCAAAACATTCGATGTGCTGCCTTTGCTCCAATGTCGTTGGACATAACTGTTAAAATCTGTATCAAGAATGAGCCCTAGAAGAGAAAACTCCCCCAGGAAGCAAGAACATGTGGAACATGCTGAGAGACAATGCCAAGAAAGGCTCTTCTGCCGTGGTAGCTTCTGTAAGCACAGAGATGTCGCTAGCTGAACGGGTGGCCTTATGTTTTCACTATGTCCCTCCCTCCTTCCTCCTGTGACATCAGCACCTTGTGCTCCTGAAAGCACACACTATTCTAAGGCCAGGTCCTAGCCTCATGGTTTTAGCTGTCATCCTCTAGGTGTGCTGGAAAAGGACTCCTATTTTGTCATGCCACTGTGACAAGGGGCCGTGTGGTGACTGGTCAAAAATAGAGGATGCCTGTCTCGAGGTCAAAGCACTTAGGAATGACAACAGACGGTGGAAGACAGGGGACTACAGGAAACCCAGAGAAGGTTCTGGGAGCTTTTGGTAGAAGGTGGGAATGGCTGTCTCCAGTTGGGAGGAATTTTAGGGTAGGATTTTATGAAAATCAAAAATATTTGCTTAGCTGTATCTAAAAGCACACATTTCTATTTGGTTGCATCTGGAAGTATTTTATGAATTTTATTTTTATTAACACTTGAATTTATTTTCTTCTCATTTAAGAATGAGTAATTACCTATGTATAGGGAAAAGGGTCATTTTTTTCAGAACCCCACTCTTTTAAGACAATATAAAGCACAAAAAGTTATAGGGAGAGAATATGTTATTAATATAATAATAAGTAAGACTGGAAGTCTAGTTCCATGAATGCCCTCATGCATGCATCCCTAAATAACTCAGAATCTAACAAATGAACATGTGGTTTTATTTTTGTCTTTAATAAAATGAAGCAGAAAATGGAAGTCCCAGGGGAATTTTTATTTTCGTTTTGTCTGAAGAGAACAGGGAACCTGTGAATACATAGAAAGGCTCCAGGATGCATAGACCAACACAGTGAACTCTGGTCAAATGCATTCTGTATTTGACAGAGAGACACTCCAGGAGAGAATTAAATATAAAGCTCAGCTGTCACATAGAGGCTCTGAGTCATAGGCTTCCAGTTCCTTCCTGGCCCACATCACCAACCCAGGGCCACAGCCATGGCCCCTCCATTGGGGGTACAATGTGAGGCCTGGCAGGTCACCTGACACTAGTGTGGTAGCACATCTTCCACCTCTAGAGTAAGGAAGGGAAACAATATGTCCCTCAGCCACTTCAACGTGCTTCTGCTCATCAGCACGGGCAGAGTGTCCACGAGAAAGTCCGGGTTTATGTACTGCAGGTGGAACAACAGATAACCCAATAGCCGGATGAAGACCATGATCATGAAGAAAAGGTACCGGAAGTGCCTGCAAAGAAGAATCCATTAGCATGCGGGAACAGAATGCTTTAACATCGGGCAGTGGGAAATGAACTTGTAAATGGGGGGGCAAATTGCTTTCTCTTGGCAACACTGTCCGGAGGTACTTCGGGAATGGGGGATAGAGATGGTGAATACAGCCAGGCGGTGGTGGCGCACGCCTTTAATCCCAGCACTAAGGAGGCAGAGCCAGGCGGATCTCTGTGAGTTCGAGGCCAGCCTGGGCTACCAAGTGAGTTCCAGGAGAGGCGCAAAGCTACACAGAGAAACCCTGTCTCGAAAAACCAAAAAAAAAAAAAAAAAAAAAGAGATGGTGAATACAGATAACAGAACACAGAAGACCTGTGATTTAGTGGTCAAGAATTGAACACTTCCTTCATGACATTTAAGTTCTCTGGTTGAATAGATGACCTTCTTTCTGGTAGTGTATATATGGGGCAGGCCTTTTGGAGGTTAACAGCAAATGTTTATAATGGTCACATTGTGAGCCTCATGGCCAGTGGTGCTCTTCATGTCTCCTATAGCAAGTAATTCTAGAAAACTGAAGGTAAGTCTCCTTATTTCAAAAATTTGAAAAAGAAAAGATAGAATTCACCAGGCCGCGGTGGCACACACCTTTAATCCCAGCACTCGGGAGGCAGAGCCAGGCAGATCTCTGTGAGTTCGAGGCCAGCCTGGTCTACAGAGCAAGGTCTAGGACAGGCACCAAAACTACACAGAGAAACCCTGTCTCGAAAACCTCCCCCCGCCCAAAAAAAGAAAAGATAGAATTCAAGTGATTTCCTCCCTAAATTTCTCAGCCCACAGTTGAACAATAAGGAATGTTAATGCACCCCATCCTCTCTTTCCAAGAATGTAGCAAAGGTTTGGAATGCCAGGACCTGAAAAACCAAAAGGGATCATGCTGGGGAACAGAGAGGAATTGAAATGAAATGTAACCTACAGCTTCCATCCCGAGTTTCTCGAAAGTAGACACTAACTCCTCCAGCTATTTAGAACCGTGTTCGTTTGCTGTCCTAATTCTGTATATAGAAAGAAAGGAAGAGTTCAGAGAACTCAACCTGCATGGCTATCTGTTTGATGCTAATACTCGTTCTTTTGGCCTGTATCAAGTCAGCTGCACAGTAAATGTGGCCTGGACCAACTAGGTCAGAGGCATGATTCTGCCACTTACCTAACCAAAAACTTTCTCTTCTGGTTCTTGACGATGTTCTTCTCCTGTGGAAAGTAATGAACACGAAACTACGTGTAACTGGAATCTCAAAGAGAAGCAGTGCAGTGAGTAGGGAACTACAAGGAGAGTCTTTGCAGTGAGCCTAGCTGTCTGCCTTTTGCCAGATGCCATGGTGTGGTGCTAGGCAACAGAACCTCACTTTCTTTCTCCAGGATTTTTAGAAAGGAAGAAGAAGGGCTAGAGAAAAGCCTAAGTGTGGACAGGCCAGACTCACCATGTTGCTTTGAATGGTCTCTACCAGAGTTGCCCCAGGTTCCAGTACTTGGGAAGAGTCATTCTGGGCTTTGGATCTGGTTTTCAAAACAACAACAACAAAGGATCAGAGCCAGTTGTGATGTGACCCCAGGAACTGTTGCAAGAGCTTTCCTAAGTCATGAAACACCTGCGGCATGGTTGAAACAGCACGCAAAGACGTTGGGAAACATGACTGATTCTTTTCCAATTATTTTCAAATTTAGCATACAATGGGTGTCATTATGGCCTTTTCATAAATATGATTTATTATACTTTCTCCTAATTTATTCCCCCTTGCAACTGCCTTCTTGGGGCCTCTTATTTCCTTTCTGATTGATTCCCTTTCTCCCTACAAGAGTTCTCGACTTCTGTCTCCATGTCACATGTATTCCTCTTTTTTGGGGGGTGAAGGGATAGTGAGAAATGAACTGAGGACCTTACGTGTTCTAGGCAAATACTCTACCACTGAGCTATGTTCCACCCCCATTCTATCCTAGTCAGGGATTTTATTGCTGCGATGAAACACCATGACCCAAAGCAACTTGAGGGATAAAAGGTTTATTTGGCTTATACTTCACATCACTGTTCATCACTGAAGGAAGTCAGGATAGGAACTCAAACAGGACAGGAACCTGAAGGCAAGAACTGATGCAGAGACCATGGAAGAGTGCTGCGTAATGGCTTGCTCTTCTTGGCTTGCTCTATCTGCTTTCTAATAGAACCCAGGATCACCAGCCTAAGGATAGCACCACCTAGGATGGGCTGAGCCCTCTACCATCAATCACTTGTTAAGAAAATGCCTTAAAGGTTTGCCTACAGCCCAATGTTATGGAGGCATCTTCTCAATTGAGGTTCCCTCCTCTGCAATTACTCTAGCTTGTGTCAAGTTGACACAAAACTAGCCAGCACACATTCTATTCTTAAGAGAAAGATAATCTGTACCTAAGCTCTGCCTAAATCTCTGGCTGACTTTCAAACTGAACTTCTCAGGGCAGTCTGAGCATCCCTGCTGAGGTTAGAAGACCAGACCAGAATGTGAGCCGTCACCAGAGACAGACTGTATGGCTCTAACCTAACATCAGAATGATTAATATCCAGAAACTCCCCAAGTCTGGCTCTCTTTCTTTCTATTTTTTTCCTCCATGTTTTAACTGCTCCATACATAAAATTCACACAATGTGTTTGGCTTGATGTCAGGCCACAAGGTACAACATTGGGGCAAATAACTTGTTGCCATTCTCTTCTTCAACTGCCCACTCTTCTCTAACATTTGCCTGCTTGTCCTCTCTCTCCAAAGCCTTCTGGACACTGAAGCTTACTTGTTTTATGTAGAGTTGTTTTTCTGTTATAGAATTAATCCAGTAAGCTTAGCCAGCATTTTCATGGGTATTTCCTTTTATAGTAATCAATAAAGGTGTAAAGGGAGAATTGGCACAGGCTCCTGGCTCTTCCATGATGAAGTAAGTAGTTTGTGTCAGACCATCCTACTTCTGAAAGCAACTATAAAAGTGGGCAAAATGCACCAGTGAATGTATTGGAGATGGTATTCAGGAGTCAAAGGGAAACAAGGTTTTCTCTCAAGAACATATGGCAACCTGCATTGCAGGGAAATAGAGTCCTAGCAGAAAATGGTGATGTCAACTGGCTGAGGAGGCGGAGTTCAGTGTTCAAGACTGTCAAAGAAAATAGCTAAATGGGCTTCCCTGGCAATGGAGCTGGCTCCTAGTTACCTGTGTGTAACTCAAGACTCAAAAGAAGAAAAAAATCAGAAAGCAATGTTAATAGATACAATTCAGTATACAGAAGCCTATGTATTTCTATATTTTAGCAGTTACCACTCATAAAATCAAATGAACACAACATTTACAATATCAAAAACTATCAGTATGATTAAAGATGTGTAAGAATACTATATAGAATGACAATACACTATAGGAAAGTTAAAGATCTAAATAAATGGATGGATAAAGTTGGAACAACTGTTAGCTAGACATTAATTAACCTCCAAATTTTATTTACAGACCCCAATAATTGCCATCAAAATATCAGTAAGTTGTTTGTTTATTTTGGTAGAAATTGAAACTGTTATAAAATATTTGTATTGAAATTCATGGGTCCAAAAGTAGCCAAAATAATCTTAAACAAGAAAGACTTGCAGATTATATCTACCATATATCAAGGCTAACTATAAAGCTATAATAATTAAAACAATTCAGTAGAGGTAAAAGGACAGAGACACAGATTAATTGTGAAGAATAAAGCACATAAAAACAGGCTCACCAAAGTCTACCAAGGCACCCATGGAAATAAATCATCTCTCTAAACTTTCAAGTTTTAAATACTTAAAAGTTTAAAGGATGTACAGGGCTAGTTGGACACAGGAAAGATAGATTTCAGATGAGTACAAGCACAAACAGCAAAAATCTGGGGGAAATCATAGTGTCATTCTCCTGAGAACTGAACTCAAAGCCCAAGGAAAACAATAAGCGAATGGGAATGACACCTTTACCCACTTCCAGCAATCTTCCAGCCCAGAATTCTTGTAAAGTTCTTGTGAGTGAGGATATTGATCAAGATTGTTTCATCTAGTACAACCAAGATATGTATACCCAATGACCCTTCAAAAATGGAAGGATACATTTAAATATCCCCAAACTTGAAATAGTCAAAGTGTTCATCAGTGATAGATTAGTTGTATCATATTCATACAGTGGAATATTATAAAGAGTAAGTCACATAATGCAGTAGAGATAAGCTTCAGAGAAAGCCAGACATAGGGGATATAGACTGAATTTACAGAAAAAATGAGGATAGAGTTTTAAAATGATCAGACTAGTGGTTACTTTTGCAATGGGTATTGACAGGATAGAGAGTTCAAGGAAGTTCTGGGGCTTATATTCTATGTAGCTCTGAGTGGTACTAATGTATTTTGTATAGTATGTGATACAATTAAGAAGTATAAACAAAAAGAATATGTGTCAAGTTCTGTGAAATACATCTACAATCTCTGGTCATTCATGTGTCAAAGTCCTGGGAAAGATTGTGACACACAGAGATGCCAGTAATGTCTGTTCCTTGCATGTGCTATCTCTTCTCTATGTTTTTTCATCTCTGAACATAGCTTGAGTCGTGTTGGGGCCACTGCGTTCAACTAAGGATATATGAAAAGAGCATCATAAAAACATTTCAGGTCCCAGTTACTGGGTCGTAACTAGTCTGAATGCTGATGAGTGTTCAATCTGAAACATGAGTAGAGGTTGCCAGGGATGGCCTGATGTATGTCCTTTACCAATTTGTCTAAATGTTCTGCTCGTCAGGGAACCGCCTTGGGGCAGGCACTGCAATCCACCAGGGGGCGCTCATGACCCAAACTTACATTTCTTTTTCAAGCAGCATCATTTCTTGTTCCTTCTCCATCTCCCTCAGAATTTCTTGGTATTTCTTCCCACGGGGGAGAGCACCATAAACAAGAAATTTTGTCTTTATTTTAAAGTCACTGATAGGAATATTCCACTAAAATGAACTCCTAAGGTTCCAAATACCTCACACAACAGGGTGCACAAAGTAGGGGGATGTTCTAATAAAAAAAAAAAAAATCAGAGTCCTAGTGACAGAATGGGCATATGAGAACAAAAGTTCCTCTTCTAGACCTTGACTGTACTCAAAATGCAGATCTGACCTGGACTAACTGAATTCCCAGAGCATGTAACCTAGCTCCCTGAAGCCTTGGTGTCCTCCACAGAACTCCTCAGACTTACTAGACAAATGGGGTGAGGAAAACATTAAAAAACAAATGGGTTGAGGAACCCTGTCTGACAGGGTCCAGCACTTTGTCTAGGGCACTGATATTTGGTGGTTATTCTGATGAATAAAAGGCATTTTCCCATGGCAGATGGTAGCCCAATGAGAAAAGAGCTCTTTCCTGACTTGGGGAGATCTGCCCCATTCAGACTTCCCCAGGAACATTGTACCTTTATGTAGTGGGCCTGGTCTTCACAGAGCTGGTACACAGATTGGTAGTCACTTTCCATCTAGAAAAAGAAGAAAGCAAAGGAACCTCATGGGTTCAATCAGTACCAAGTTTTGGCTGCTTCCCTGGGAACCTGCCTGGTACATTGGACATGTGGCCGGTTACTTAGCAACTCCTTACTTGAAGGAAAACAACCACCTCTCAAAAGGTGACCTCATCATTCAGGTACAGGGCCTAATTTTGAGTAGGGGAGGGGGAAAACTTCGCCCATGTTGTCCTGAGCCTCTCTGGAAAACAGGAGGGAATTTTAGATTTGTGATTCTACGAGGCAGATGAGTGTTTTAAAAATGTTAAGGCCAGTATTTAATGAATGCATTTTTTCCACCTGCCTGTGAATCAGAAATTCACTTGTCAGATTGTCCTGCTCCACCCCTCCCATGCCTGAAAACCTTTCTGGAGCCCCTGGGGCTTTCCCTCCTATTTAGGTCCTAGGTAGACACTTAGTGGAAAAGGCACTGGCCTAATCTAACCTTGACCATTTCCTTCTCTTGTTGTGCACAGGACTCGGTTGACTTTTGTAGTTTCACCTAGGGAAGACGGTAACAGCAGAAAGTGAACGGCGTTTCTTTATGCAAGGAAAACCCAGGCTAGCCGAAAGCAAACTCAGGGTGGCTGCCGTGTATTGAGGACAAATAATTAAGGGAGGATATAGTCATTACCCATTTTTCAGATGAGGAAACAAAGGCACAGAGACGTTATATACACAACTAAACCAAGACTCAGAATGGCAGAGTTGACATTTGAACCTTAGTAGGCAGACTCTCCAGTGAATCTGGCTGTTCTTCTTCCTCCTACTGAGCAAAGCCCACCAGCCTTTTTCTCCCACTTATTCAGGCTGGTGCACACATGCTCTCTAAATCGCACGAGAGTCATAGGAGACCTCCCACTTTGTCAGAGAAAAGCAGACAATGGCGCTCTTGATGGTGGGCTCAGCCAAATGGCACGCTTGCCCCCTAAAACTGCAGAGAGCTTCCCAATAGGCTTTACTCCCAACTCGAGTCCATTTCATTTGTTCACTCAACAAATATCTACTGGGCATCTGCTATGTGCTAGAATGTTCTAGACATTGGGGTGCAAACAATATAGTTTTTCAAATTAATACTCTCAGTTGCTTTACTTTCTATTAGAGGAAAAAGACAAAATACAATTTGAAAATAAAATTTACTCTATGAGTCACAGCTTGGCGAACCATATAAGACTATTGATACACCCTTATGTAACTGTGAGAATTAGCATTTGCCTTCTACTTGAATGTCTGTATTTGCATTGTCCTTATTTAGATACAAACTGCTCTGGGGAAGACCCCAGTACATTTTTGGAATGTGTTTCATTAACTAGTGAGACTTTCAAGCCATTCCGTCCACCTGAAGGCAATGTAGGCACCTCTGCTTTGGGTGTGAACAGAAATGCTACGATGCCCCAGGGGAAAAAAGGATGCTGGCTCTTCTCTAATGCACAAATAGACACACCTAGTGTCACACGTACGAGAATCTATGAAAACAGTCTCCTAGAACCTAGGACCTATACATGTGTCATACAAAAAAATCCCAGTTTGCTATTCTACTCACCTTCAATTCTGCTATTTTCTTTTTCAGGGTTTCTGAATCAGGGCCAGCATTTTTAAGTCCTCTTGAAATCTGAAATATCATTCCAAAAACTGAACTCATCAAGGCACATGGATAAGCTAAGAAGGTTAGACTTAGCCAGCAGAACAACTGTAGTTACTAATTCGGGTACTGAAACATCTTGGATGGAAACATGTCTCCTTGACCCTGTGGAAGTCGCCTAACTCCATACCGCGTGTACAGCCTTTTACATTTTAAATTCATATTTACTTGTATTGTGTGTGTGTGTGTGTGTGTGTGTGTGTGTGTATTGTGTCTGTGTCTGTGTGTATGTCTATGTGTGTGTCTATGTCTGTGTGTGTCTGTGTGTGCGTATCTGTGTGTGGTCTCTGTGTGTGTGTGTCTGTGTCTGTGTCTGTGTCTGTGTCTGTGTCTGTGTCTGTGTCTGTGTCTGTGTCTCTGTGTGTGTAGGTATGTACATGTGAGTGCAGCTGCCTTTAACATCCAGAAGAGGGTGTCAAATCTTTTGGAGCTTGAAATAGAGGTGGTTGTGAACCACCTGACCTGGGTACTGGGAACAGAGCTCAGGTTCTCTGTAAGAGTATGTGCTTTTAACCACTAAGCCCTGAGGGGACACCATTTTTCTGTTCCCAAGACCACCATAGCTCCGTAATGAGGAGAGATTGGGCATAGCAGTAGGAGTAGGGAAGGAGTGGTAAATCATTGCTCACTTTGCAGTTCCTTCCTCTCCCTTGACCTGTCGTGACCAGAGGGCAAATACTGGCTTAGTGTCTGAAGACTCTGAAGGTGATAGGGGCGTGGAGCACAGACATTTCACTGTCTTCTCCTTGTTTTTCTGACTAGAGAGTTCAGGAAGTTAACAACTCTATTAGAATTCTTTAGAAATTAGTCATATTTTAAGGATGGACTCAGTGTCTGAAAAATCCCTTCATTTGTTTGTAGCCTATATATATATATAATTCTGAACATCCCCAGAACTCACCTTTTATGTTTCCTGCCCATTCCACCAGCCTTTCTTTTGTAATGGCAATGGTGTAGGAAATGGGGTACCTTATGACCTGAGGTGTCTCCTTACCTTCTTCTGTAGTTCCATGACATTCCTGCTTAGGGTCTTATTCTTTTTCTCCTGTAGGAAGAAGGAATTTAAGGAGACAAACAGATTCTGCTCTCTCTCAACCTTTTCTCTTACCAAGGCCACGTATGTAATATGTAAGGATGAGTGTGTCAAGTTAAAATAAAATGCACCCTGGTCCAACATGGGGAATCTGGGACAGAGCCAAGGTCTTGTCCCCGTGCCCAGTGCTTCATTGCCACAGCGCTCTCCCAAGCAGCTGTGATTTCTGTAGTCACAGAGGCCAAGCACATGCGCAGTCTCTGGGGAGAAGAACAGGATGATAAGTGTAGAAGGCATCTGAGGGTCTCTTTTAGAAGTCTCCTCACCAGCTTTGCTGTCTCCAGCTCCAGGTCCTTCAGGGCATTCTCCCTCTGTATTGTCATCTCACTGAGGTCATCCTTCTCCGAGACTTTTCCAATGGACAGGGCAATATCTCTTTCAAGACTGAAAAACAAAGTTACTCAGATGTGGCTCAGTCCTAAGGAAGCTGCCACCAAAATCACACCACCAACATCTTGGGTTGACAGTTGTAATAAAATGTCAACAAAGGGAAGAAACTGAGTGCAAAGATCTGCACCAAAGCCTTTTGAGGGCATCACAGCTCATGTTTCAGGATTTAAACAAGACACTGAGATTTACACCAGGGAAGTAAACCTTCCTCCACTTCTCTCTAATCTATAGACATCACCTGAAGAACTCCACTTCCCTCTAATCTATGGACATCACCTGAAGAACTCCACTTCCCTTTAATTTATGGACATCACTTGAGGGGCTTCTCCTTCACAAATGACAAAGCCTGACCTTTGAATAGATTCCTCTTTCTTTTGAATCTTTCTGAGGAGAATCTGATTGGCCTCATCCAGCCTCTGTAGATCCTTTTCAAGGTCCAAGTTCAGATAGTTGAGATTCTGTTTTATGGCTTCTAAAGTCGGTATTTCTGTTATCTCCTGCCTAAAGGAAAAGCGTCTTTATAACTAAACTCAGATCAGAACATCAGAATCCCAAGAAAACATCCCCGAATTCTCATTCTCCAGTCTCCTGTTGTTTATGTGCCTAATTGGTTCACTGTTTTTCCCATGATCAACCAATCCCTACAGTGTTTCTCATAAAGTAAATGTCTGTCATATCACACTTTAATTCAAAATATTGTAAGTTATACTAGAATGCAAATCTTTTGTGAGCAAAAGAAAAAAACATATTTTTTATATAAATGATTGTACTCTAACTTGTTCACTTCCAAAATTTTTACATGGAGAATATGGAATCTAAGCAACACCTATAAGGCATTTAAAGACAGAAAATGAAAGAAATTAATTAAGTCTTTCGTCAGAAACTTGAATATTTTCTGTTTAGTTTGTCAGAAGCCTAGGCTGGGTGGGAAGAAAGGAAAGCAATGAATCTTTCCCCTAAATCAAGCCAGTGTGCTGGGTGACTGGACAGCTTTTACAGCATGATGAAGGGGAAATGGAACTGAAATTTCTTCTACGATCCTCTCAGGCTTAAGGAATGTACATCCTTCACAATTGTGGTCTGGATTGCTGGAAACTTCTAGAGCAGTCATTTTTCTAGCTCCCTATTGTTGTATTACTTACCCATCATCCAATGGGTTCTGTCCAATGTCTTCCATCTTTGGCTTCCTAGATGTGAATGCAGACATCTGTCATGAAAATGAAGGTCCTACTATCCATCATGTCATCAGCCAGAAAGGAGTTGGCAAAGGTCAGACACTCTTTGGGCAAGGCAGAGTCAAGTTGGAGCCTTCTGTATGCTCTCACTTTTCCAGACTCAGTTTCAATATTCTATACAAACTAAATGTCAGCAAACTAGATCACCGCTTGATTTTGGGATCTCAGAACCAATCACATTGGGTGTAGAAATCTTTTATATTTCTTCTCTTCTGATCCTTTCCCTTTCTTTCTTGCTCTTGCTCTGGTAGGTAAAAATTTAAGGGACATGTGATAGACTCGTGTATGTCTATTGACATACAAAAAGAATTTATTTCTAACTCAGACCCTCAGGAAACAACAAAACAAAACAAAAACCCCAAACAAAATGAAACAAAAAAAGAACAGAGAAATTGGCTGCCTGATTTCTATTAGCCTATTACTTTCCAGCTTTTCAACAAGCTCTGGACAGTAAAGGCTGAGTTGATTAAGCAACATGATACCACTATTGGAAACAAGACAGAGGCATCAAGCTTTGAGGCAGACCCAAAAGCTGGTATTTTATAACCACCACAGCAGCACTAAAGTTCAGATTCTAATTCAGTCTTAGGAAGGCAGAATACCAAAATGCCATTATCTTTCCCATTCTACCTTTTGCTTTACAGCTCTTCATCTTAATACCTTTTGAAGTTCGTCTCCCACCTCTTTCCCTTCCATCATTTCTGCTTCATTTTCCTTTTCTTCCAGAAGTCTCTTTACCCACAAGAAAAACAAAACTGTGCTAATACCTTTTTAAACACAGCTTTCCTTTTTCAACAGAGATTTCTTTTGTTCCAAACAGATTTCCTTTCCAGCTAGATGCTAGGACTGTCACTCAAGGGGTTGCCTTGCTGACTGAGTCTCCACATATAACTGGGCTGGTTACTCTGGCTGGGTGGGGCCGCATGTCATAGTGGGATAGTGACATCGTCTTGTCATCCCAACAGCAAAGTGGGAAAGTCCAGAACTTCAGGGCAGTTCAGGTGTCTTATGAAACAGGAATAGGTCCTATAGAACAAGTTTGGGCACAGCTAAGACATCGTCCGAGGCAGCAACAATCTGCTCTATGGGGAACACATTCACATCCCCAATCTCTAGACCTCGCAGTTGCTTTGACCACTCTCGTTTCTCTTCCATGATCTCTGTGTGACACGTTCACAAGTTCCTGCAGTTAAACTCAAATGTGCGCCTCCATTGAGTTAGCCAAAGGGTATGAGGTAGGAAAGTCAGAAAGAAGGCCAGAAGAATCTGAATGGTGTCTGAGCCTTTGTTCTTACCACATGGGACTTTGGGAGCTATAAAAACTTATCCTCCTGCCCTGCACTGGTCCTCTAGGTCATTGGGAAAGAAGAGTGAGATATTTTGATGGTGGCAGGAATACAAGAAGATGAGAAGGCAAAATAGGATGGTGGGAAAAGAAATGTTAGGTCCAGAGACCCAACTCCACTGCCTACTACTATAGATTACCCCCTTTATTTTTTGAGGTCTTAAATTATTGCAAGAGTAGATGGCATTTAGCATATCCATGTCACCTTGGCAAACATTCTAGGATTCTTCTCCATGCTAAGATAAGGCAGGTTATAGAATTGTAAAAATATCAATAGAGCATAAGCTAGGCATGCTCCTGTAAACAAACTCCCACCTACATTGTACTCCATGAGCTGAATCAAACCTAAGAGAAACAAATGGCAGTAACCTCCACTCCCTGGGAAGGTCTTTGACACCATTTTGTCCAGGAATGTGTCTGTCAAGCAGAGACCTCTTCTGTAACCTCCTCACCCCTTCACCACTCTGCTCACACACTGCTGCATGACCATATTCCCAAATACCAAACCACCAGTCCCAGCAGAATTAAGTCCTTGACTTTGTTCTCCTATTGTGGCATTTTGTATTATTTTCAGTCTGTTTTACATCCTACAGTTAGGCCATAGGATGGCCCCTTGAGTGCATTTTAATCATTCATTTTTCTGTCCCTGCCTAGGTGTGCTCCAGGATTCTGTTCAGACAAAATTCAATATGGCAGGAATATTTTAAGAACAAATGGATGAATAAATGATTTATATGATTCCTATTATCTAAAACAGGAGAACAGGATTCTTTGGCTCCTTCTCCTTCTAACACACCTAAGACAGACTCCCCTGTACAGACAGATTAGTACATGATCATTATTGATAGTGTGCCATGGCAGAATCCTCACTGGACAGCCACATCCTCTAGGCTCCACTGGTTGACAAGCTGTGATGAAAATATTCTTCAAACCAAACTGCATCTTCTTTTCTTTAAGGACACTATACAAATTCTCCCTCTCTATGAAACCTTCCATGAATCATTATTAGTTCATCACCTCAAAGAAATAATATATACTTGGTGTGAAAACATATTTTCCTTTGAAACTAAGAAGCTCAAAGCCACAACTGAAGCTCTAAATGTTTACTGCTGTACTTTATTCTCTCCTTCTCATGTGAGACCTGGGCATCAAATTCAAGTTCTCATGCTTATATCAAGTGCCCTTAACTGTTGAGTCATCTTGAAGGTCTCTCAATTTATTTATATAGTGTGCAAGGGCTAGAAGATGCTTCTTGTCTTTTGTGACAGTTAAGAAGTGTGACAGCTACTACAGTAGTTAATAATGAGGTGAAACTGATTACGCTCCAGAAGATGGGGTGTAGACCTATTTCCTCATGTATCAGTTGTATTTTGTCAACTTCACACAAACTTAGACATACTTAGGAAGAAAGATTCTTAACTGAGAAAATGCTTCTGTCCCAGACTGCATATAGGCAACTCTGTAGGGCATTTTCTTGATTAATGATTGATATGGGGAGGCTCAGCCTATTGTGGATGAGGTCGGTCCTGGGCGGGTGACCCTGGGTTGTATAAAAAAGCAAAGAGAACAAGCTACGAGGAACCAGCCGGTACACAGCATTCCTCTGCAGTTTCTGCTTCAGTTTCTGCCTCCAGGTTTCTGTCTTGAGTTTTCTCCCCGATTTCCCTTCATGATGGACTACAACTATTAGATAAACATTTTCCTTTCCAAGATGCTTTTAGTTATGGTGTTTTATTACAGCAATAAAAACCCTAACTAAGACAAGTCAATAGCTAATTTAGGCAGAAAAAAGAGGGGGGACTTTTATTGATAGAAACAGGAATTTGCAGGTTGGAGAGATAAATTAGTTATTAGCAAAGTGACTGCAGCACACACATGAGGACCAGTGTTCCTAACTCCCACATACATGTAAAAATCAGGGCATGGCTGCATGCACCTGCAATCCCAGTGCCAGGAATATTGATGCCTAGAGCGTGCTGGCTAGCTGGTCTCACTGAACTGGTAAGCTCCATGCTCAGTAACAGACCATGTCTCAAAACATAAGGTGTACAGCAATAATGGAAAACACCTAACAATTAACTCTGGCCTCCGCATGCACACACATTAAACACCCAGGAGGACAACTGCTAGGCTCTATGATAAAGATATAATTGGTTTTTGATACTACCGAGAACTATTTCAAGTGGCTGCACCATTTTATACTTCCATCACTAAATGCATCATCGCTCCATTTCTTCAACATAATTGCTAGCATTTGGTGTTGTTATTAACTGACTTTAGTTACTCTGACAGTTTTACAGTTGCAGAACAGTAGCATCTTAATTTGAATTTCACCAGGGGTAACAATGTTACCCTTATGTCTACACACAAACTCATTGTCAAGCATGATTTGAAGGTATTCTCTCCCATCCTGTAGCTTGGTTTGTTCTTCCATCCTCTTCTGTTTGGTGTGTGTATGTGAGGGGGGTGGGGAGGGAGAGAGAGGGTGAGCCACCATATCTTTTCATGTATGGGTGCAGGCAACAGGTCAATACTGGGTATCTTTGTCACTCACTCTCCACTTTGGCTTTTGAGACAAGGACTCTGACTGAGGTGGAGCTCATGGATTTAGCTAGACTGACTGGCCAGCAAGCTTCAGGGATTCAACTTTCTCTACCTTTCCAGCACTGGGATTTCAGGAGCACATTTCCATGTTTGTGTGGTAAGCAGTTTATCAGCTGAGCCACCTCCCGTCTCTGTCTTTTGATCCTCTAAACAGAGTTCTCACAAAGCAAATTTCTAACAATTTTATATTCAATTTATAGAAATTTTCAATTGTGGATGATGCTTTTGGCATCATCCCTAAAAGTCTTCTTCAAGCCCCTGCTCCTGAAGATTTTTCTCCTACGAGTTTTAGAGTTCTGCATGTCATTAGCTTTAGTAACTCTGCCAGACATTCTACAGGACACAGAGAAAAGAGACTGAGAGACTCTAGGCCTATATGGCTGAAGATGGATGCCCCAAAGTTACAGAAGAACTTTGGATAACTGTCCAAGCAGGCAGCTGTCTCTGTCATTCTAGATTTTTTGGAAGATGCTTACAATGCTCTTCCTGTTTACTTAGGTAATATTATATCCTTTTGAGGTCTTTAATGTAGTTGAAGACTAGATAGTTATGGTTTTCCATATTTTCTTTCATTTTACAAAATACAAATAGACTAGATATTGTAACTGTAATTCTTGCTTGATAACTGTTTGCTTTATGTAATTTTACTATATTGAAGACCTTCCTTTTTAATTAAACAGTAAAGGGGAAATACTGTGGGATAATGCTTTTGTACACTGGTTTAATAAAACGCTGATTGGTCAGTAGTCAGGCAGAAAGTATAGGTGGGATAAGCAGACAAGGAGAATTCTGGGAAGAGGAAGGCTGAGTCAGGAGATGCCAGCTTGTCGTCCAGGGAGTAGCATGCAATGGCACACAGGTAAAGCCATGGAACACACGGCGACATATAGATTAACAGAAATGGACTGAGTTTAAGTATAAGAGCTAGTCAGTAATTAGCCTGAGCTAATGGCCAAGCAGTTTTAATTAATATAAGCCTCTATGTGTTTACTTGGGGGATGCGAGTGGGAGAGATTTGTCCAGACCGCCAGCAGGCTGGGATACAGAAAATCTTCTGGCTACAGCTCTTAACTAGTGTATATGCATAACTAATTGGTAAGATCTATCTAGATCTTTCTGGGGGCACATTTACATATATTTTCACTCATATGTCACCAACAAAGATCAAACCTTTTCAGAATAAACTTGAGTTCTTTTTCTCTGGTTATCTCTACAGTGGATAATCCACAAACAACTCACATAAATGTGCATCAAGTTCTCACTTGACTGTTTTATACAGTTTTCTTTATACCTTG